TATGTACGCAGGTCAGTCTAACATTCTGCCCTTTTATTCTCACTCCTTGAATACGGTTAGTCATTCATACATAATTTTATCTTCTTCAGCATTCCGAGCCCTTGAGGTTCATTGCAGCAGATATCACAGCCTCCATTCGTGACTCTGGTTGGCCTTCTCTTTCCAGTTGGTGACACCAAGTTTTTATAGATCTGTCTGAATATTATCATATAATTGTCTTCTTCCGTGGTCTACGACCGTTCAGTTCCCTTGTGTATACAGTTTTTAACTCTCTGTCATCTGAAATTCTCTCAGTATGTCCCAGCCATTTTCAGTCTATTAGGTCTCATAATGCTAGTGATCAATGGTGACTTACACATATTATGAATTTCGTTACTGCTTCTCACTCTCCATTCACTGCTGTTTGCATCTTTGATGGGTCTAAAGATGTATCGTAAGACTCTGTTTTCAAAAAATTGTAATAAGGCTTCATCTCTTTTAGTTTTCTCCAGGTTTCAGAGCCACATAAAACGACTGGTCTTATCATCGTTTTATACATTTTGATCTTGGTGTAGCGAGATAGAGGCTAGTTTTAGCAGATGTTGTAGGACTTAGATGTTTTGTTTTCAGACTGTATTCTAGATTGTAATTCTTCTGTTAGTATGTTGGAGCAGTTGATATACTTGTATGTCCCCGTTTGTTATATTTTCATATCAATTTGCATGTGGGCGGAATTCTTATCCTTTCCCTGTCTTGTTATTATCAACATCATTTTCTGGGTACTATTAAATATTTTCAGCGATATCTAAGTCTTAATTACAGACGCTGGAATGTATTCAAATTATACTTATATTACAAAACAAAAATAATTCTTAGTATAGTAATAAATTTAATCCAGTAATGTTACAAATCAAAAGGTAACAAAAACCAAACGAGATCGACAACTTACTAATAATAACACACGCTGACATGTGCTCCACTAGCAGTTATATTTTTTAACAATAATAATTCTTAGTATTAAAAAGTAATAAATCCAAGGGAAATATATCACAAACGTACAATAATCTTTTAATGGAGCATATATATGCCCGGCTCTCTAGCGAAGTTGGTTAAACCTGACTTTCGCGGCGGCCGGGTGACGAACTCCTTGTGGTCCGGGTTCAATCCCGGGGGTAGGCAGAAAAGCCACATTTCTCCCAGATTAACGGTACCTATAATGGAATCAAGGCCGAAGGGTTGCGATATCCATAGTACTAAGCCAAAGGGTTTACAACTCATGGTTTCTGGATACGTAAAAAAAAATGGAGCATATAATCTGTAGTGAGATGATAGTAAAATAGTTTGCGATTGTATCAGTCGCGGTTTGTAGTAACATCGATTGCCTGCGCAAGATGATTCTACATCAGTGCACTGAGCTTGTTTTTGTATAGACTGAATTTGGAGTGCTGAATTCAGAATTGACATTACACGGGACATTACCACAAGAGCTCCGACCCCATATTAAGCAGCACGCGCATAGTTCCAATTCCCATGCCACAACAGTCTTCCTCTTCTTCTTCTTTGTTCACCGGCTTTAAGTCCTCATTGTTCGTCCATTTGGCATTTGGCTTTGTGCCAAGACTTGAGTTTTGCCTGTACATCCGTTTTACTAACTTATTTGTGTGCTGTTGGTTGTTCTTTGCTGCTCGGGCAAATGCACTCCAAAATCGAAGGAAGCCACCAATTAGTCCACTCCTACGACATGGTTATTGGGAAGGCAGTGGGCTATTCTTGCCCCCCCCCCTTCCCCCCCCCCCCCCCACACACACACACACAATGGGGCCCCGGAACCTTTATGGGGAAGTAAGAGAATTATTTATATCCGTCGTCTTGCTTTTTTTTTTTAAAGTCTGTTTTATGTTTTGGGAAATGTAACATGTTAAGACAGTGGTTCTCAAACTGCCTAATACCGCGACCCTTTAATACATTTCCCTCATGTTGTGACGACACCCAAACAATTATTTTCCTTCATGACTTCAATGAATATGTTTTCCTATGGTCTTAGGCGCTTCGTAACGCCGGGATGCCGGGTTCGATCCCAGCTGCAGGCCATGTGCCTTGCGTTGGTTTCGACAGTGGTATCAAGAAAGCCGACCGACCAGAGGTAATGGCAACTACTGGACGTAAATTTGCCTAGAAAAACTTCACAACAGCCAGGAGCTGTTGGGGTTACTTCTGCAACGTCCTGTAAAGGATCCGCAACTAACCTTATGGTCTTAGGCGACCCATATGAAAGGGTCGTTCGACCCAATAAGTGCTGTGATCGGCAGGCAGAGAACCGCTGCGTTAAACCACCTTTATTAGTTTCTGAAATATCTTTGCAAACGTTAAGTACACATTTGGCAATTTTCGGCATAAAACATGACATTTTCAGTCAATATCGGTAAAAATATGTTGATTTTAGCCCCCAAAATTTATTTTCCATCAATCTTTAACTAGTATGTACCTACAGAAAGCATTGTTTCCAACAGATTTAATCAAATTCAATTTGGGGGTTTAACCTGTCCTTAGGGCGTTTACCTTGCTTTCCATTGTATTGAAACAACGGTTCAAAGTAGGGTGACCTAACATCCTGAGTTGATGACTCAGGCCCGTGTTGCGTGGAAGAGGCAAATCAAACAAGGAATGTATATTTAAAAAAAAAAATAGAAAATGTTTCAGAAAGGTTGAAAGCTGAGCATCTGAGAAGTACACTATATACAAATGACGGCATTACCGGTCCAGAAATTCCATCGTTTAATTGTAGATGTGTCTTATCGCGGGCGGGTCTGGCTAGTCCCACTCGCCCTCGCCATGGGCTGTGAGTCCCATGCCTCCCCATAGCACAGTATAAAACTATCATCTGGAAATGTGTCAACAAAATTCTTATTTTAAAAAAATGATGTATGAGAGAAAAACAAACAAGGCAGCTCTCCTGGACACAGATGAAACGGCGGGAACCAGGTAAAGACAGAAGATACTATAACCAACTCCTCACGGAAACAAACAGTAGAGGTATCTTGGAGTGGCGGCTGCATCGGGGGACTGAGCACCCATGGGGATGCCTAATGTGCAAAGACGTCGATTGTGATAACATAATATAAACACAGATGAAAGTCGTAAACAGAGGAGACAAGTCAGACATAAACAGGCGGTGTCTTTCGGACAGGTTGTGAGAAGGAACTAATTTGAAAACTTGGTAACGACTGGCAAAACTGAAGGAAAGAGAACAGAGACAAGGCAAAGTGATGTTTACCTGGGTGATTGTCATATGGATAGAACGAGATACGCACACTGATCTGATCGGTGATTCTGGTGATCGTGTTCATTGTTCATTTTAGAGGTCATCTGCATCGCACATCGGACATGACCATAAGTACTCCGATCTCCTCCTGAGTAAGTCTTCATGTGTTTTTAAGCTAACAAATCCCGTTATGTTCTGGTTGATGTAACTACGGGTGGCTCTCGCATGGTTTTCCTGTCTCGCGGCTCCAGTTGGTACACCCAGGGTATGCAGTCTCATCATCATCTTTGCAGAACGTCGCTCTCATCACGGTCTGCCTGAAAGAAACTTAGTCTCTCGCCAGTTCTCCCGCCTCATGAACTTTCATACTCAAGGAGTCACTTTTATCCTGTGCCCATCTTCGTGTTGGTCGGCCCCTGCTCCTCCTTCCTGGTACCATGCCCTCTGCTGTAATTTTTTTCAATTCCATCGTGGCGCTTGATACGACCGAAATATTTTAGCTTGCGAGACAGGATGCTGTTTATTAGCCTATCTTCCTTGATGTTCAGATCTTTCAAGATGTCAGTATTTCTCTTTTTATTCGTCCAAGATATTCTGAGAATCATTTTATTTCATTTCAGCTCAAAAGCCTCTATTCTCTTTCTTAAGTACGGGGAGATATTACACGACTCACATCCGTATGTTGCTACAGGGAAGATGCATGCTCTCAAATTTCTAATTTTGATCTCCTTGCTGGTGCTTAACCATAGACTATTTAGGCTGTTTAATCTTTGCATTGCTATCTCCATCCTCCTTTTAATTTATGTCAAACAGTCTCAATTGCTTTATATTATAGAGTCTAGATATTCACAGTTTGTGACATTTTCAATTTCTTCACCATTTATTGTTATTTTTGGGTGACAGCCAGTTTTATCTGTGGAAATTATTTTCGTTTTCTTCAAATTCAAGAACAGATTTTGATCTTCACTGTGCTTTTGGACAGACAATATTACATTTTCTATTCCCTTTACGCTGTTCTAAAGGAAAAGTGTGTCGTCTGCGTAGCGAAGTTCCGGAATAGGGTTGCCATCAATTTTAAACGGATCATAACTGTCACAAGTCTGGTCGTTTTTGACATTTCTCATTATATTTTCTTGCGTATATATTGAATAGGTATGGTGAGAGAATACACCCCTGCCTCACTCCAATTTGCACCTCGAACCAATCCAATGCTTCACCAGCTGCTCTGATGGCTGCTTGTTGTTCCTGAAAAAGATTTTCAATTAAATGCACCAAATGCGCTGGAAACCCCATACTTCTCATAAAAGTTCACAGTTTCTGATGTTGGGCACAATCAGATGCCTTGCTATAATCAATGAAACAAGCATGAAGATCTACCTTGTATTCTCTACATTTTTCAAAAAATTTTCTATTCAAGATTTGATCCCTAGTTCCTCTACCCTGTCTGAAACCCGCTTGTACTTCGTGTAGCTCATATTGTGTCTATGCTGTCTATTAAGTGAAAAAAAAAAAATCCACGAAATTGAAAGTCTCACAGCGTTTACTTTCTCGTATAGCACTGATGATGTTTCATCTGTCCATATAGGGGCCATTCCTGACAGTCGTACTGCCAGCGAGAGCGTCTGCTCTCTCATTCGTGATTCTGTCAGACTCTGAACACAACAGCACACTCTCATCGGCACGGTACATGATAATAATGATGATGTTTTAATGAATTGACATCGTGACAACTGACAAATGGCGGTGACAAGTGACTTACTTGTCGGGAATGGCTGTGACGAGAGTTATCATTGAGTGGTTGAGGCTGGCCACGCGCTGCAGACCAAAGTAGAGATCGTTGCTCCACCTATCGGCGCCCTGGTTAGTTTGTAAGGAAAATATGTCAGAATATTTCAACGGCACCAATAAATGTTAAGGTTAACAATTTAAAATACTAAAACGAAATACATAACTTTGGGTTAACATTTTAAAATACTACAACGAAATATATAACTTAGGGTTGACATTTTAAAATGCACGGAAAACACAAATATCTTTTAAAGTAACGTTTAAAAATATAGCATCAAAAACAAAACTGCTTAAGAAATATTGTAAAATTCAGCAATGACACAAAGAACCAGTTAAGGTTATAATTTTAAATGTTTCAACGAAACAAACAAAAAACCCACTGAAGCGTGGTATGGCAGGTATGGAATCATCATTAGTTTTATAATCATAATCATTATCAGTATCATCATCACCATAATCATCACGATCATTACCATCATGAATATCATCATCAGCAAAATAATGATCATCATTATCAATATAATCATCACCATCGTCAATATAATCATCAGGCTCATCATCATTTTCATAATCACTGTCATCATCATAAATTTGCAAACCCCACACCAACATCATCAAAACCATCTTCATCACGAACAATGAGCAAATGCGGGAGTCGATTAGCAACGTACTATAAATGTTTCGCAAAAAAACTTTTGTTGTTGTTGGTAATGTTCACCAGTTTCCTCCTGCATTGTTTACGAGTGCGGTAATTTTCACTCAGTGTCTTTGGTGGTTCCCCGACCTTCACAGGAGGCAGCAAACATAAAAAGTAAACAAGAGTTACTACACGCACTAAATTGCTTGAAATGCCAGGCATGGAAAACCCAGCTGTAAATTAAGCAATCACATCATTATGGTGGGCTGGGAGGGGAGGGGGGGGGGGTGGGCTGCAGAATCTCGAAGCATGTAATTTTAGTAGTAATTCCCCCTGGTTTCTGGGTAGTGAGATCGGACGCCCGTGTGTATTGTTGAGAACGTAAAAATCCCTTGACAGTTGGAAACCAAAAAGAGCAGCCAAACGGCGCTGCCCGGGCAAAATTTGGAGTTAAAAATCTACCCAAAGAATTTCATGATCCTCGCCGGTGCTACAGAGCCTGTGCACTGTGCTGAGCTTTTTCCAACTCAGACTTGAGTTGGAAGAAGAAAGGAGCACTTAGGGGTTACTTCCCGTGTGCCATGATGATGATGATCTATTGTTCAAAACCTTAAATCATTATGCAAACAATTTACAGGGGGTTTCTAAATCTGTGTTTTAGACGCGCAAAACCTCGGTTATTATACACCTACAGATGTCACCATCATCATCACCATCGTTCCCAACGGCGTCTGTAGGGTGTGGGTGGTCTTGCAGATACCCTTGTTGGCTGCTTAAAGTGGGGAGGGCGGGGGGGGGGGGACTTCTACAGAGATCAACAGGAATTTGTGCACGTGGCCTTAACTTTTCCCCCCTGTCCTTACGATTTTATAATTTGCAGTCGCACAGGCGATGCTGTTTTCTTGAAGTGGCGTATCTTTTTGTTCTTTGTTTATCGAATAGTTTGTGTACCCCTACAAAGAATAAAACATTCTTCTTCTTCTTCTTCTTCTTCTTCTTCTTCTTCTTCTTCTTCTTCTTCTTCTTCTTCTTCTTCTTCTTCTTCTTCGCCTTTCCCGGCTGTAAACTCAAGCGAATAGTCCTGGTTATTTGTCCATTTATACACTTTAGGCTGAATCCAGAATTTGAGTTTTGAGTGTTCATCCGTTTTACAGATAAACTAGACCAATCTACAAAGCAGGCCAGTCTAGAAAACAGACCAGTATGTAAAGTAGACAATTTATAAAGCAGACCAATCAATAAAGCAGACCATCTACAAAGTAGACCTCCAAGGATTTGGGACAGAAAAGTCGCCCTCAAACTTCCAGTTGGCCATCATTGCCCTAGAACAACGCACGGCAAGCCCATTTCTGTTCACGACTGGTGTCATTTTGCAGCTTGTTTTCTTACGGGGTGAGCAAGTTCAGGTTCGCATTAACACCCTTAGTCACCGCTTACGACATGTATGGCCAGTTAGAGGGTTACTATTTTTTGCTTCTTTAACAGTTCCCGGTAAACCTCCTGCATGTCTCTGTCAAACAAGTAAATGAGAGTGATTTTGGTAATTCCTAATTATACTGTTTGTAATCTAATTAGGTAATTATGGATTTTTGTGTAACTGCAACAAACTCAGTGTGAAGTCTCACTCCTGGACGTGGAGTTATACGCGTATTTAGCAGGTTCTTCTTCTTCTTCTTCGTGTTCACCAGCTGTACACTCTGGCGGAAAGTTCTGGTTGCTCGTCCACTATTGAACTGCAGTCCTGCTCCAGAACCTGAGTGTTGCGTGTGCATCACTTTTACAGATCTCATTCTCATGAATACAGACTGTTGGTTCCTTGCCTCTCCGGCAGATGCACTCCGACTTCAAAGGAAGCTCCCCAATTAGCCGACTCTTACGACATGCTTTTGGGGAGGCAGTGAGTCTATTCTTGTTTTCCCCACAATGGGGCCCCAGAACCCACACGGGGGACCTAGCAGGTTCTGTAAATGGCCACGGGAGAACTGGTAGATGTACGAGGATATATGTATGAAATACACGAGAGGTTTTCGTGGTCACTGGAAGCCTATGCAAGTCACGGTTGAAAGACTGAGTACTTAATGTATCATTATGTGTTGTGCGTGTACATCCGTTTTACTGTCTTATTTATGTGCAGCTGGTTTTTCCTTGCCGCTGTGGCAGATTCAATCCGACCGAAGGAAGCCGCCAGTTAATCGACTCATACGACATGCTTGTTGGATCCATTTATGAATGCAAAAATTATGCTCTGTGCATAGGTACCAAGTCTGGTTGTACAGCCGTTCTCTGGTCTGTAATTTTTGTTATTAAATACTTCCCATCCTTTTTAGAATGACATTTTTCGTTATTTGAAGCCCTACTCTGGCTCTTGCCGGGGTCCGCAATATAACCTGGCCATAAATATGGCCTAAAGGCTGAACGCTGTTTCTGAGACCTCTCCACGGTGATCCTCACCCGCATGGTGGCACATTGTGTCATCGGGTGTTTATCGCTTGTGTGATGTCCTGGTGGGGAAGAAAGTCAGTCAGTCAGTAATTTTTGTTGTCCTCTCTTCAGCCTTTCTGCATAGATTGCTTTCAGAAAATCTTTGACGCCTTACCTTGGACACCAGTATATCGGCCACAAGCATTAATACAACATCTTCTAAAACTGAGAACATTCACAAACAGCAAAAAGAATATGGCGAAAATATTTGTTTAAGTAATAAGCAGTGCTGGTGAAGGTAAATGTGAGAAGATCGACTTCACTGACCGGGTTTTACCACATATGGCTCAGTCTCTCTCCGCAGAACAGCTGGCTGCCTGCCGAAAGTGTCGCACAGAGCACGATCTCCGTGGCCCCGGTGACAACCCCCAGGGATCTCCGTAGAAATTGCACACATGAACTGAGGGACGCCGCCGTGAAGCGAACCCTCGACCTTCAGCACGCGAGGCAAACGGCTTGAAGACTTCGCCATGGAGATCCCAAGCAGTACTGCATTTAGGTATAACGTACCTAAGCTTGAGAGCTTAGGGCCTCAAACCGGCGGGGGCCTCACAATATTTCTATCTGTTGTTCACAAATGTGAAATTCGTTTAATATAGTCTTTAAGCGGATAGTATAAAATAATTTATGTGCTTTTGCAGACACATTATTATTTCTTTCACTAAAAATTAAAGAACAATATATTTTCATCACTTAAACTCCGAGGGAGTTCTGATTGTCTGGAAGTGGCTAGTGAAAGTAGAACATTATTTCAATAATGAGAAGGAGACAGACAAAGTGCTTTGGTCATATGATGACAAATAAAGCACCGGAAAATATCCCGATGACTGGAAAGATCACTGGTAGAAGATGCAGAGGCAGACCAAGATAAATAATGGCGGATGGCTTAAGACAGTGGCGTGGAGAAATATCAACACACCAAAGACCGAGATCTGTGGAAATGCATGAACGACTACGCCAGCTGGCATGGCACATGATGATGATAATATATTTTTATGTTTTCTGAGATGAGCTGGTGTAATTTAAAATAGAAGAGGCCTCAAAGCTTTACATAACTAAGGGCCTCGTCAAGTCTAAATTCGGCATTAGTAACAAACTATATTTATACGCTCTTATTTTATAGACCAATCGGCATAAGATGGGTGATGTAGTCAGCATCACGCCGGCCGCCTTTACTTCCTGAGACTGCACCCGGTGCCCACTCAAGGCTGGGTCGATCTGGAAGCCAAGGTCATTTTTGAAAAAAAGTCCGGCTCTGTCAGGGAGCGAACTGACGACCTTCCCATCCGCAGGCGAGCTATACATACACAGCAAGGTGCAAATATATCAGATGTAACATAGTACATGACTAATTACGAAGACATACGGATAAATTAAACAACATGGTAATATGAAACAGAACAACATATTGATATGAACACAAGCTGTTATACAAAAGGCATATATTCATGCGATGCATGCAGCAACACCCTGTGGTTACGACACATTTGCATAACATTATTACATGACATTAAGATGCAATCAAATATAGTACATGATGATCAAAGGTAGATCTAAATAAAGAATCGGGAGAGAGAGAGAGAAAGAGAGAGAGAGAGAGAGAGAGAGAGAGAGAGAGAGAGAGAGAAAAGAGAGAGAGAGAGAGAGAGAGAGAGAGAGAGAGAGAGAGAGAGAGAGAGAGAGAGAGAGAGCAACTCCTTGCATGTGCTATACATTTTTATATTTCTTTACCTGAATTTTATCTGTAGTGTGCAAGTTGCTACGCCTGTTAAAAACTGGTAAGGACGGATCTAAGAGGGTCGTTTCTATAGCTACAGAAATCGTACTTAGTTGCGAAACTCTCAGAGGTCGATAAGCCGCTTTTCGGACAGCATCCCAGTGAAGTCAGTCATTAAATGGCCTTTTCTTCGTCAGTAGCCAATCAAGCATAGATGTTGGACGTATATTTGTA